TCTCGTAAAATCTCGTCAATAGTATCTTCATAACATTCATTATCACTAAGATTATATTTATCAGTATCCAAATCAGAATCTGACGATGTAATTTTATTTATGCTTCTCCTTCCGGGCAATCCGATCTCTTTTCATTATTGAAAAAAAAAATAAGGGTAGAGATTTTAAGTTATACCATTCGGTACTCGGCAAAGATTCCAACTGTTCATGCAGGAACAGAAACTATTGGAAATGGGTAGATAAATAAAAGTAAAACGCAGTGAATTAAACTTATCCCTTTTTAGTTTATTAATTTGATGTACGAGGAAGGACCGTCTTTACTCTCCTGATTGCTCCAGGAGACTGAAGACTATTCACAAAGACGAAACCAAAAACGTCACCTAAAGACAAAGAGCACTCTGTTCTATATACATATGAAATCATTGTTTATCTAATGGTACTCTGGCGAGACTCTCGGCGTCGATTCGTTTTTGTAACTTATATGCTAGAAGGAAAAACTTCTGAGTATTCAAAAGAGAGAAAATAATCCAATAGAAACAGATATGAATTAACAGCGCACGCTTCCTATAGCGGCACGGGTGGCCNATCCAATAGAAACAGATATGAATTAACAGCGCACGCTTCCTATAGCGGCACGGGTGGCCTGTAGGAGATTTTGTTGTAAATACGCGTGGCAGTCAACGTGTTAAAACTCGACTAAATGACTTGAATTTATTTTAGATGATAGAGGGACTGGTCTACTAGACTTTGGGATAGGATAGTTCGGAATTACTAGTACACTCGTGTGTGCGGTGGAAAAACTTCTTTATTTCCGCGGACTGTGTTTTAGGACAAGTCGCGATGCAGTGTCTTAAGGCAGGTCTCAGTCATCGTTTTTCCGGCCAGACTCTGCATGTGCCGCAGGAGCTGGGACGGTGTTCGGTCGCCGATTTCCTCTTGCTCGAAAAGTCTCAGCATTTTCTTATTTTCCGAGGCGGACATGCGTCTCGTATTTCTCGGTTTCCAGGGGCGCAGTGAAAATGTCCCACACCTCCTCTGCATATTTTGCGTCGAGTTGCGCCATTACATGACAAAATTTGGTACTGTTTGCTGTGATGCCGCTTAGCGTGAATTGCGCCTCGATCTGGTTGAACCAGATCTCTCTGGTCGCTCCGGCCAGAACGGTGGTATGCGCATACTTACGCGGCAAACCTCCGGGGTCGCGGCACTATCACGGTTCTCGTCGGTATTCATTTTATTACACTTCTATTTGACCTAGACGCACTGCACTCACTACCGCACAGCACTAGTATCACGCCGGGGTCACCAGTTTGGCGGCGGTCGTAGTGTGTGTTCGGTCGAGAAAAGGAGGTGGGAGACAGACGTTTCGTCCGGGGCCCGCGATAGAGGACTCAGTAAGGCTATCCTAGCGGGCCCTTGCCTTAGACGTGGGGGTAGGACGAAGTTTCTGTATATATAGGGATCGAGGCGGATCGGTTACTATCGGGAAGAGGAGACCTCTGCTGGCGGGTCTGGAGGTAGCCGCCACAAGACGATAACTGAAATGCCTTTTTTAAAATTTTGCTATTACTTAAGATAACAGAAAAAAAGAACTTTTTTATTTGATTTATTTAATGATTCTAACTTTTTCATCTATAATTAACTTTTCATATTAACTTCCTTTCGTAGATCTCGGTAACATATATGCGTGCTAAAAATTTTATCGAAATCAGTTGACGTTGTTATGAGTTGTAACAAATGAAAGATCGCAAAAGTCGCGATTTTATCACGATTTTGACCAAAAACTGGAAGAAATCTTTTATATTTTTGTCATTCCAAGTAATGGCAAAATTTAAAAGAAAGCATTTCAGTCATCGTCTGATAGATCAGTTCCGCTATCATCTAAAAAAAAAAAGTATTCAAGTCACTTAGTCCAGTTTTTTTAAAAGTTATTGCGTTTGAAAAGGTGTACGAACATTTTTCTAGAGCACTGTAATTTTAACATTGACCGTATCGAAATCGAGAATGAAAAGATTGGAATTTTCCGACAGTTCTTCCCGACACTCTCTGCAGAACCTTACATAAGAATAATAATATTGCCCGCTATGATGATATTCCTACGCGCTCGTTGGAGCGTTAAAAACAACTGTTCTTTTCTGTTTATGACTGCGTAGATCGGATCCACGGTATCGTTTTGACGCGAACCGGAAGCGTTCACGGAAGACGAGCTAGACGAAGAGCCTGTCGTCGAAGAGAATATTTTCTTAAGACGCACCTGGCAACGCACCGAGGTGCATCGTGGCGCTTTCCCCTCTGTCCCGCGCCCGAGGTATTCGATACTGCTACTTCGATTAATCGTTACGAAGCATTTGTTGATTTCTTGTTTAGTCTGACCGCATCGAAACTAGCGAACGCGCTTGTTGTTCGTGGTTCGCGTAATTTGAACGATCCAGGAAACACGACGGAGGAAGGTGTTCTCGAAATTCGGACGCAGAACGACGTCACTCGTGAAAAAAGGGATCGCAACGTTCCGGACCCGCGAAACTGGAAAATTCGAAACCAAAGATTGTCTGGTTGCGTTTCTACTTTTTTTTTTTCTTGTTTATTCGTTACTTTATTCGGTTCGTTGATCCTCCATTTCGGTCGAGCGCCTTTCAATCGGACAGTATTAAAGTCGGCATCTCGCGTTGGACAGCGATCCCGGAGACAAAACGACATCATTTCTGCGTCCACGTTTGCTAATCTCTTAGTTCCTCTTTTGCTCGCGTGCGCGTTCTTCTTATCGTTTATGAAATTCATGAAGTGGGAGCAATTAAGCGATACCGCGTGTAACTCTGTGATACCATAAGCTATAAGGTAGAATTATTTTGCAACGATCAAAGAAAACAAAACTGCAAAAACAAAAAAAAAAATGAAGAAAAGAAGAATAAGACGAAGTACATATATAGTTGTGGGAATAAGTCATGAGACCGAGTAGGAACGTTATTTTGTCGCGACGAAGATAATCGCACGGACGCGAAATCGATTCTTCGTCGATCGGCGCGCGGATCTTTTCTTTTTTTTCAGGGGCGGCGGCGGCGGGAAGTTCTTTCCTCGTTCTGGACCGGGAGGAACGAGCAGAGAACCGAGGCGATGATCGAACGATTTTTTTCTCGGCTTCTGGTCGAGTATCGATGCTGGTCCGTCGTTCGGGAATGGCGTGAGTGAATCACACATTGTATTATACAATACCTCTACGGCCGCATTCGAGAAAATCGGTGCGAGATTCAACGACGCGCGAGCTTTCGTAGCCGACCCAACGTTTTGCCCCGTTAGCTAGAGAGAACGATAGCCCCGTCTCTCGCGAGAATAACGAAAATTTCAACGATTCGATAGACTCCGAAACAAATTTTAGCGTAAAAGGGATAACACGAAACCGGATCGATCACCGATCGAGAAGAGGAAAGAACTCACGAGAGAGAAGAGCGATGGGCTATAATGACGCGAACAAGTTTGCCGTTACACGTAAGACTGCTTTAGAGACACTGAAGAATACATTTAAAAGTAAAAAAATACGAGAAGGAAAACGCAGAAAAAAAAAGATGTAGTATTACCGATTACACTGTGGTGCTGGACGACCGTCGGGGATCGAAGGGTTCCAAGGGGGCAGGGACGTCGTCGAACGTCCGAAACCCCCTTCGAACCACATCCCCGCGTTCCGTCGGACGATTTGTACTGATGAAAGAGAGAGATTAAAAATGGCGTTACGAGAATTTAGCGATTGACGAGATAATACGATCTATTTATTACGGCGGCTTCGGACCGCGGAGTAAACGTGAATCGGGCGCCTCCCTGGTTTCCTGGCTTTTTATATATATACCTATAGTATTTTATTCTTGTTGATCTTGTAGAGGTGCGCAGCGGGTTTGTTATTCATTTTGAACATCGAGGATCATAAAAAGCTTCGAAATAGACTGTTCTTATACGATTGATTGTCTCTGTTTCTCTCTGGCCCGGGCCACATTCACTCCACGGTCGCAACGTTCGCACGATTACAAAGCTATATTATAAATATTATATGAAATATATTATATATAAATATATATATATATATATATTATATACATACACACTTAAACACATATATGTATATTTATTATTCGACGACGACTATTTTTTGTATTACTATTTCAAGTACTTTGTAATTATTCGTTATACCTCACTCGGGACATTTTGAGCTGATTTTTAGCGCGTGGCTGAGGAGACGAAAGGACCGTTTCGCTTTTATTTTCGACGCGTTCACCATAGATTTTCGATAAATAATTTTTCTTCCGGTTACGCAGAGAACTCGATCCTCGAGAAAATGATATGTGAAATTGATTCCAGCCGTTGACACATCGCTAGAACAAATTGCCAATTAGAGTCCTTTCTCCTCATCCATGACGATTGAATGTCACTGCCAAAATCCCCCAGGATTTCAAGAGACGGGAAATTGTGGCGCGCTAAACGACCGACTCGGCGACCGGCTGCCGCCATATTTTTTTTTTCTCTGGCAGTCGGTCTCATATTATGCCGTCACCGAGCTCCTACCATCTCCCGTTGTATTCCGATCTAGCGTATTTATTTCTCCGTTTATTCGGTTTCTTTTCTCGGACGGATTAGCGGCCTTCGTTGTCGAAAAAGCGTACCGGTAGCCGTTTACAGTTTCTTTCTCTTTTCTCAACCCCTCCATCCCCTCCAATTTCGATCCAATGTTTCAAGATGCTTCTGCAAAGAAGCCCGCGACGAAATATTTTAATATAGAAGACGCTCCTCGTCGAAAGTCTCGCGGATTCGTTCGGAATTCGAGAGGCGAGATCTGTTTTCGTTGAATGGAAACGTTCGCCGTGACGAGGCGAACAATTACCGGCGGGTGCACATTCCACAAGATCTTCATTACGCATACTTGTACGAAATAAAATAAATCTGTTAGAGTTTGATAAGATATTTCACGACGCGATGATAATAAATGACTAATATATCTAAAGTTTGAAAGCTTAAAATAGACTCGGTTTATCTATTATTATGTATCGTGATTTTTATGTCATGTTCAATAAATGAGTTTTAAGGTATCCTCTGTCTACTGTGTCAATTTCCTTTACTAATTAGCGCACTGCGGATCCGAGAAGTTCAAAGTACCATCGACGAGCGTCGAGGTACACTCCCGGATTGCGTAGGTCGTAGGTAATCCTCAGGCGGAAACTGAAAATAACGTTCAATGGGATTGATGCTCGAGATCTCCGCCACGCAAGGCATACGATTGTAAATTAATTAGATCGGTTCGCGTTGAATCATTGCTGGTAACGACTAACATAATTAATCGAAACCTTTTACTTGCACGGTTCACTAGCTCGCGAGCTCCATTTGTGTCGAACTCGCAGCTTCGGGCCGAGCAGAATTCGAAACGAATATGCACGCCTCGATGTTGGTTCGTTGACGCTTCCTCGAAGAGGCCCTCGCCGTTGCACTTTTCGCGAAAGAAATTTTTCGAATTCGTCGATTTAACGCGTTCAGCGCCGACAATCGACCAACAAAAAATTTCTACAGAGTCAAAGCAATTTAATTAATTAAACCGAAATTAGAAAGTTAATATTTATCATAGCGGATGACGTTAGAACTGTTTCGCATCCGGAACAGCCTAATCGAATTCAGTTCGTTCGAATATATTATAGTGAAAATGAATTTTTTCAAATCGGTGAAAAATTAGTGTCACCCGTATGTGACCGACGCGGCGCTCAATGTATTAACCCTTTGGAGTCTGATTTATTTTTCGCTAATTTCCGTTACATCTGAAGTCAAGTTTTACGTACATGTAGATGCTGATAATAAGAAATGTTGATTTTATTAGCGTCGGTTATGCCGGTTTGACGCTAAGGGCTGGGATATATGTGTCCCATTGGTTACATGTAAACGAATATGTGCGTGGTATGCATTCTAAAACTGGTATATTCGTCTATTATGGAAAAACGGGATTCATTTTTCCCAACAGGCGTACGAACTACATAGTTCTGGTAGACTTCAAAGGGTTAAGTTTCACAGAACACTAATCGAACAGTGTGAAAAAACTGATTAAGAGGTAACAGTGAGACCGCAATAAACAGCTCGATAAAACTGTTGCCAATTTTCGTTCGTTATTCGAGCACTGCTCCACCCATCTCTGTCCTTAGCTTAGTTTCAACAATGGCGCATGGTCTCAAGGCTTGCGAAATATTCAAATACTAATTCCCGTGTAATGAGTCACGCGAACAGTTCTAAAATTACTGCGGATGATCGTTAAAGCCGTCGGATGACACGCGAAAAACGGTATTTGAATCCGAAGCGGCGATACGTTATGATTCACATTTAAAATAATTATCGAACACGTTGCCTTTGTGTCGGGACTACAGAAAATCGGTGTATTCCGGGGACATAACTTTAGAATCAGCATGAAACATGTCGTTGCGTAACGATTGTTATTTCGATTCGCGTGCTTTTAGTTATAAGTAACAGTTATTGGGTTGGCAACTAAGTAATTGCCGATTTGTTCAATGAAATACAAAATTCTATTTAACTTGGAATGAAGTTTAATCTGTAATGTATTTTCCATTTTGTTCGATGACCTTTTGCCATCTCTCTGACAACTTGAAAATTCCACGCTCGTAGAAAGTCTGATCATTTTCGGCCAAAAACTGAGTTAAATGAGATTTTACATCATCATTAAAAGTTTTACCACGAAGGGAGTTGTCCAGGGATCGAAATAAGTGGTAATCCGATGGCGCGAGATCAGGGCTATATGGTGGGTGTAACATCGATTCCCAACCAATATCCATGAATTTTTGCCGAGTGGACAAAGACGTGTGCGGCCTAGCATTGTTCTGGTGGAAAATGACACCTTTACGACCAACCAATTCTGGTCGCTTTTCCTTGACCGCTGCATTCAATTTGTCCAGTTGCTAACATTCGCGAATAATAAAAAATAACATAATAATAATAATAATAATAATATTATAATATAACATTTACGGATATCATAAAAATGGGAGTGAGAGACATCTATAACTGAAATCGGCAATTACTTAGTTGCCAACCCAATATATTATCAAAACCTCCTCGTTGAGACTGAAGCTAATCCTTTTATTGGTTTCAATATTAACACTATGCCGTCCGGTGGCACCACGCTGGTGCCATGCAAAAACTATCTGTTGTATGCCGGTGGTACCACTTTGGTGCCATTTTAGAAAACTGAAATAACATTTGAACTATATTTCTTGGGTGTTAAAAAAGTCAGCAAGCTAACTATAGCATTGTGGTCGCTTTTCCTTGACCGCTGCATTCAATTTGTCCAGTTGCTAACATTCACGGATAATAAAAAATAACATAATAATAATAATAATAATAATATTAATAATAATAATAATAATAATTTTATAATATAACATTTACGGATATCATAAAAATGGGAGTGAGAGACATCTATAACTGAAATCGGCAATTACTTAGTTGCCAACCCAATATATTATCAAAACCTCCTCGTTGAGACTGAAGCTAATCCTTTTATTGGTTTCAATATTAACACTATGCCGTCCGGTGGCACCACGCTGGTGCCATGCAAAAACTATCTGTTGTATGCCGGTGGTACCACTTTGGTGCCATTTTAGAAAACTGAAATAACATTTGAACTATATTTCTTGGGTGTTAAAAAAGTCAGCAAGCTAACTATAGCATTGTGGTCGCTTTTCCTTGACCGCTGCATTCAATTTGTCCAGTTGCTAACATTCACGGATAATAAAAAATAACATAATAATAATAATAATAATAATATTATAATATAACATTTACGGATATCATAAAAATGGGAGTGAGAGACATCTATAACTGAAATCGGCAATTACTTAGTTGCCAACCCAATATATTATCAAAACCTCCTCGTTGAGACTGAAGCTAATCCTTTTATTGGTTTCAATATTAACACTATGCCGTCCGGTGGCACCACGCTGGTGCCATGCAAAAACTATCTGTTGTATGCCGGTGGTACCACTTTGGTGCCATTTTAGAAAACTGAAATAACATTTGAACTATATTTCTTGGGTGTTAAAAAAGTCAGCAAGCTAACTATAGCATTGTGGTCGCTTTTCCTTGACCGCTGCATTCAATTTGTCCAGTTGCTAACATTCACGGATAATAAAAAATAACATAATAATAATAATAATAATAATAATTTTATAATATAACATTTAGGGATATCATAAAAATGGGAGTGAGAGACATCTATAACTGAAATCGGCAATTACTTAGTTGCCAACCCAATATATGTGATCGAAATGTTGTTTACGTTATCCATAATTATTATTGACGAGTTTGCTTGGGTTAGCTATCTATAATAGTTGTCGATAAGAAAAATTGATTTCGGTTGTTTACAACTAAACTATGTGGTTATTTTTATGCCAAATACAAATTGTTCAAGTTTATCAGAAAAAAAATGTAACTTAGATAAAAATATCTTTTCTCTTCTTATAATAGTAATATCTTTAAATTATTCTAATGTCTTGTCCCTACTGTTTTGCATTTGGCCGATTTATTTTTATCATAAATACGTGAAAATCACAGTCTGTTTATAACAATTATCGCAACAATTATAGATGGGTGAAATTGTATTTCGATCACATAGTATACAGAGTGTTCCATAAATGCACGTCATCGTAATACTTCAAGAGGTAAATCTACACATCGGTACGAGTAAAGTTTTTGTAAATTTATTGCCAATTTAGGTAGGTTGATTTTGAGTTAATAAAGTTCGGTATTACAGAGAAACGAGTGTATTCCTTACAAATCGTTTCAATCCAACATTAAACATAGTAATCAGATATACATATACATGCTTGAAGTATTAGGGTGTCCCATAAGTTCCTTTCGCGCCGCGCTACGAATGACTTTAATTGGCTGTGTTTATATAAACACGAAGGCTTATTTCTTGGCTGTTTAGTCCCAGAGCTCTTTTAGAGTATGTTTCGTTGGTGACAAAGTTCCTTATCAAATTTTTTCTGCGCCGTTCGATATGGATAGCCAAAATAAGCACACACACACA